ACCCAAGGCTTTACCTTTAGGAAGTTATACTTAATAGAGATGTAAATAAGACATGACAATGAAAAGCCAAAAGTTATAAATACCAATATATTGCTATGGGAATTTAGTGGAAAGGAGATTACTTCCCACTATAAGGATGAAATGGGTTTATAGTACCTTTACTGTTTCTTGTTTTTCCTTCAAAATTCATGAGAAGTATACATTCTATTCATAGCATAGGAATTCTTGTCCACATAAGAAAAAGGTGTTAAATTAATGACCATTGAATAAATTTGACATTCCAGGAAGATGTACTTGTTTATTCAGCAGCAAGTCTTCAGCAAATCTACTTTTACCCCATTTCAGTAGGCATGGTCCTAGATCAATAAATTATATCTGCCCAATGCATTTTTATTGTCCACATAGGGAAATTGCTTGAATATATGAGTGGCATCACCAAAATCAAGGTCACCTGGATTAACTTTATAAATATATATCTTGGAGGGGAGTGAGGAAGAGAAAGTAGTCATAATGATCAGTTTCCAGGTATTTGCTCAAACTAAGATCTTGCCCGACAAGTTGCTTGACCATTTGTCTAAATGGTTGTATTACATCATCACAGAAGTTGACAAATTATGCACTGTTCAGTCTTCAAAATGTTCATCTAATAAACTTTATAGACCAACAAGTGAGTCAGACTCACAGGGTAGGAAGGTCATGTTAGAGTCAGGACTGATGCTGGAGTTACCCTGCTTTAAAACATGTCCAGTGAAAGAGTTACCACAACACAGGATACTACTAATTGTGTAAAGTTAAACGAATACAGGGTTTTTAAAAAAATATAGATTGTATAAATTAGTTACAATTTTAATAAATTAATTACAATTTTAAAATTGATATTGGAATTTAAAAATTGTTGAAACAATACACACATAGACCAAAAGTCTCCACTCCTATGCCCTATATAGCATGAACCATATTCACCACGTATTTTTCCAGATATTTTTCTTGCACTACAAGCATGGACATATGTATCTTTCATTTCATTTATTTATTAACAAAAAATGGATAATACATATTGTTCTACAACTTGCTCTTTTCATTCAATATATAGGGACAACCTTTTCATGAGAACCTCACATTTTATTTAACTATGATCCAGTTGATAAACATTTAGGTTATTCCCAATTTTTTAGCTCCCAAATGCTAGCCTTTTCATCCGTTGTGCACTTCTAATTCATGAAGTGATTTGAAGTATCACTCAAAAATTTAAAACATCAGTATAAACCTCTTTCACATACAATAAAGTTTATGATAAACTGGTTCCAGTTTGGACATCACTGGAGAGGGGTTAATCACAAAAGATTATTATTAGGTGGTTTCACCCACAGAACTGTCCTGCTAATGTTTTTTAAGGATATTGTAGATCTGTTTCTGTGTACTTAATAAACCAGATTAACTCAAAAGAAAAAAAAAAGAGGGCGGCCTAACTAAGGCCCGTATCTTCAGGAACTTGAATAAAGATAATATCTTACTTTCAAATGAGTCCTTAGGTGAAAGGCAATTAAAAGTACTTACCATCTATCTACATTGAGTCATGAGCCATGCATGTTTTATTAACTTTTTGAACAGTTGTCAGTTGATATTCAAAGTAAGAGGATCATTGTGATTCACTCCTCTATTCCACAGTGGCTTTAGAATTATTTTGAGATGTAAAAAACTTTAACCCATGCTGGTTCTTTCTTGATGAAGGGAGTCGTTGTCATCACTATTATGTTACCATGCATGCTCTTTCAAGTAAGCTGAGCCACCTCTGGGCCACTGGACCAGAGTGGATTGGCCCCCAACAGTGAACAGACTAAACTATAGCTTTAGTCCAAGAATATGGAAACTGACAACAAATTATTGCTTGTGGTCTACTTCCAGTTTTCAAGTGCAAACATACCAAAGTTTATTTTAAATTTGAGCCAGTCAGACATTTGGTAATATACATCAAAGAAGAAGTAAAGGCTTCCCATGTTTATTATTTCAATATGATGTCTGTTCTAATAAAGTAGAAGGATGCATATGATAGACCATGTAGTAGAAATTCTCTAGTTCCACAGTTTGGCCTTAAATATATACATATATTTGTAAATTAATCCAAAACACATTGCCATGGTCCCAGATCCTCTGAAAGCTGATTGTTTTCCATCCTTTTTTAAATTTTAGAAATATGGTGGCCAACTGCCAGAACACTTTCAGATAAACAGTCCACCCCATGTATAAAAGGGACATGAAATCACAAATGTTCAAAAGCCACAGATCCTTATATAAATAAGTTAAAGTTAGTATGGTCTTCCGTATTAATTTAAAAAAAAAGCCATCTGTGCAAGGTGAATTTTGGTAAGGTACCAATTTTTTTTAACGATTGTGGATGGGATTTGCAACTGCTTTTATAGTGAAAGCACAGCTCAGGGATTCCCAAGATAAAATGCACTGTTTATGTAATTCTGTGACCATTTGACTAAATTTCTAATAAAACATTGGAAGGAATTCTTGTTATTCACTCAGAATTTACAATCAAACTTGAAAGAATTAGCTTTCAGTAACATTCCATTTCTACTCTTTTACTTTCTTAACATCCCAAATCTTGATTTCGTCTAAACCTTCTCTCACTCTCTGTCTCTCGCACACTTAGTGCACGTGTGTCTGTCTGCCTCTGTCTCTCATTTTTTCTCTCACACACACCCCACCATCCACATTTTGTCAGAACTGTCTTGGGTAAGTATATCACAACAGTGAGCAAGACTAAACGCCCAGAAAGGATTGAAAACACTGCGTGAAGAAACAGCACACTGGAAGACCTTGCCATTGCAGATCTAGATACTGTCATGATGCATCCTTATTTTAATTTTAATTTTACTATTTGCAAAAATTTTTTCCCATTAAGCAAATAACCTCTAAAACTAGTCTGTCAAGACCTTAGAGGTCAAAAAGTCAAAAGGTCTGCTACTCCTTTGAATTTTTGGCAGGAAAATTCCATGACAAGAAGGATTTGTAAATATTTTTTGTCATTTCCCCCCAACCAGTGTTTTCAGTCAATTAAAATTTGTAGTCCAGGCCTTTTCCAGCTTGAAGCCACACCAGCGTCTGTGATGAGCAGTGACAAGAAGGATTTGTAAATATTTTTTGTCATTTCCCCCCAACCAGTGTTTTCAGTTAATTAAAATTTGTAGTCCAGGCCTTTTCCAGCTTGAAGCCACACCAGCGTCTGTGATGAGCAGTCCTTCTAGTTTGTGCAGTCATTCATTATCTCCATTACCAAACGGAGAATAGAGGACAATTACATTGTTTGGACGAATCAGAGTGTTAGGAGGAGTATTTGTCATGGTGGCAGAATGCGGCACCTGACAGGCAGCGATTGATGGCCAGGAATGAGTGTGAGTGGCCAAAGCAGCCTCATAGGATGCAAATTACTGACTGTGGATTCCAATTTATCCTGTTCATTTTTCTTGCCCGTGCTGAAGACCATTAGTGGTTTTTGAAGCAGTGAAGGGGTCATTACTAATGTGGGTAGGCTCGAAGCAGGAGGGGGAAGGTGGGGAAAAGCCTTCTGTAATTACACAGCTTTCAGGAACAGGCTGGAGGCCCTAGCCAAAAAAGTGTCAACACCTCGCAATCAGAAAAATTTATTTTCATTTTATGCTTAACCCATATTAACTCAACATTATCATCTTTCTTTGTTAACATTTGCAGAATATTAAAAGCCTGGCTTCTATGTTAATACAAATCTAGTTAACCCCTTTTGCTATAGAGGGGATTTTGTTTAACCTAATGGCATTTGGGTTTGCTAATAAGTAATCACGCACATTTCGGATAATGTACGCTATTATGGAAGATGAAATACCTGAAGAATAAAATCTTAGATGATTGAAAAACATTCATTCTCTCAAATACTGGAATGATTAGAATGCTCTGAATGGAATACTTTGTTGTTCCTAAAGTCACTCTTTAATAATGTTGATGGGTAATATTTATTACTAAAGGCTTTCTAGTTTATGAGCGACTTTGGCATGCTGGATAAAAGTTTACTTTTCTGTTTTACAAAACTAGCAAATTTAGAGTAGGTACCTATTTAACAGACGTGTTTTATAATTATGTACACACCAGTACAGTGTCTTTTAAAGTAAACGTACAATTCTGAAATAACAATCCTTGATTTCAGAATGAGAGAGGAAAGTGGATTGATACTGAGAAGACTCTTCATTATAAATGTTGGTGAATTGTAGTGGGAAGTAAAAAATTAAACACTGAAACCTATGGCTTTGTTCTCTCATTACCTTACTTTAAGGTAAAATGTAAAATTTCTATATGAAGCATTGCACATATCACCTGCTTGTGATGCGTGGTCATCGTGTGTGACCCAGTTAACCCAGAGCAGTAAACAGTAAAAATGAATCTTCCACTGTCCTATAAGAGTCAACATAAATATACTGTAAGTAAACTCTTTTGTAATTGAATCGGTTGCCATGGCTTCCAAAAATAGTGGTGATTATATACTATCTCACTTTCCAAACTTTTACTGTCAATAACCTCAGATTAACTAGGAAATAATGATTATATTGAGCCATTTCACAAGGTAACTTAGAGTAAGGGCTTTACATAGTTTTTCTAGGAAGCAAAGTAAAGTGGGCCTTGAAACTAGTTCCCTTAGGGCAACTGAAGTGATTGTAGATAACCCAAATTCTGACGTCATCACAGAAGTGCTTCACATCCCTGACTGATTTAAAACACTGAGTAATTTGAAAACCTTGCTCTTTACTCCTGGTGCTACAGTGTGTGGCAGGAACAGGAGGCTGCTGATTCAGGTTTCTAGATTCTCGCCCCTGGCCACATGTCTCAACACATTATACAAGAAATGCGATTAGGAAAATCAAGCCATAGACTAAAGAAATCACCAACGGTGGTTTCACTCTTAGAAGTAAGTGACTCTTTCTCAACTTCTGATACATTTTTTAAAACGTTTGTTTTCTCATTAGCATCCGTACCCTTCCGAGGAGCAGAAGAAACAGTTAGCGCAAGACACAGGACTTACAATTCTCCAAGTAAACAACTGGTGAGTGACCCAAAATCAATGTCTTTCTCCCACAGCTAAATTGAGATTTCTAAATAATTGTTTTCTTTCTTTTGTTTCTGAAACAAATGAAATCGAGGAGGATAACTTCTGTGTTTTGACTTTGAGGTGTGCGAGTAGTGCATAGGGAGAGGAAAAGGTAACCTAGGGAAATGGTTTTTGTAAGATTTATCCCCCTTCTCTTTCTCTCTCCCTCTTTTCTTTCTCCTTTTTCTTTCTTTCTTTTTTTTTTTTTTTTTTTTTTGCTCTTCCACTCCACCTCACATTTCCCATCTCCAATGCTTTAAGATTTTGTGGAACCAGAAATTTTGTTCAGGTCATTCCTGTTAGGAATAGTTAACGCTGTGTGTTTTTACACAGTCCTCACGCAGAGTTATCAGTTCTGGGAAGGTTTCTTTTGTCTAGGCGTTGAGTGGGGATGTAAATGCAGGTTTTTTAGTATCTCCTGATAGGAATTTATTCACCCTAATTTTTTTTTTAAAATAGGGAAAAAGGCTTCCCCATTTTTAGCTTTACAATTAAAATAGGGAAAAAGGCTTCCCCATTTTTAGCTTTACAATGTGGTAGATTACTCCTGTGGTGGTGTATGGACCATCCACCCTTTGTACACAGCTTAGAGGGTAACTGAGGAAAAGGAGGGGTAGAGGATTAAATAAAATGATCACAGTGGCCAAGAAATGATATAGGAATTACTTATCAAAATACTGGCCCAGGTTTTATCAGCAGCTTAATTTTGTTCAGTACATTCTTGGGGTGATGTTCAGATTAATTGAACTGACAGTTCTCTTTCAAAATTCAGGGAAAGTATTTGCACGGATTTCAGGCCTTATACAAACTTAATTACATGGAACTCCATTTTATCATTCTAATTCCATGTAGCAGAGGTTGTATTTACAAATGAGAAGTCTCTGCCTTTATTCACAGCTTTCCTTAATATATTTATCAAAGCAGGTTCATTTACAAAGTGCTCTATCTGTGGGATACAGGCAGGCAGACATTAACAAAGCTTTTAGGTTTATCAGGCTCGCTGCCTGATGAGCTACCCGAGGGTCAATTGATTTTGTGGTTCTGTGATTCATTTTTTTCTCATTTTTCTAGGATCACAATGAGAGACATGCTTGGAGAATTAGCCAGTTTGTCTGCCTTATCTGTCAGGCAATTTTTTTTTTTCCCAGGGAAGTCAAGCTACTTAAATTGGCCACAGGAACTGCCGTTATCTGACTTTAATGCACCCTATAGTGTGGATAGCATTTCAATTACACCAGTAACCAAAGCTTAGCTGTAGCCCTTTTCATGCCTAGTGCTGTACAGAAAGTGATGTGCCTACCTACAGAAGCAGAAAATTGAGTTGCCTTGCTTCTGTCAGGGTGATTAATGCAGAAATAAACTGCTAACCTGAAAAGAAAGGCAGAAAGAAAGGCAGAAAGAAAGAATAGACAATAGAGACTGAATTCACTTTAATTTTCTTCTAAAGATTAGAACTACGTACATTTAAAGATACCCTTTAGACCAAAAACTTGGAATAAAGGCTATAATCTCCAGAAGAGGATATGTATGTGATTATACGTTGATATGAGCCTCATAGTGTAAATATATATAATATATGTAAACATGTATATTCTCATTTATGTTTTTAGCACAAGTCATTGGTGGTCTGAAATAATAAAATAAATGTGTTCTGCGTTAATTATGGGAGAATTGTTTGCCCTCCACACTGTTATTGCATACTGATAACCAAACTGAGCTACTACATACATATACAATGGTCTTTGATGCAGTTAACATTGCTTTAGAATCATAATCTTTGTAAATTTTGGTCAAGTTGAAGGAGGCTGTGATGGGAGTTTTGAGAGAAATGAGTATTTCTATGTTGATATTTGCCATTGACATTTGATCTCATTCTTTTTTGAAAGTGCTGTTCCATGTCATCCATTACCTGTGCTTTTGGATGTAGTCATTACAGTAGAAGAATGAAGAATTTTTAGTATCTAAAGTCCTGTATCTAAAGACCAGCATTTCTCAGAATTAGACACCTGGCTGGAACCTGGAAAGAGCACCCTTCTTTTCTTAATTCCATTGAGCCCCAAGGCATGTCCAAGGAGTTCAGTTGGTGTGATATTTTAGGTTTCTTGTTTCTCTATTATTCAAGCTGTATTTGCCACAGAATGCTAAGGGCTAGTATGTGACAGTCTGTCACACAGCATACTTTACATAATATGGTATAAACATTGACACCTATATCTCTACAAAATAATTCCATCTTCCTAAGTTTCACAGTTCCTTCTGAAAAAACCTGTAATCCTGCCCTCAGTTCCAATTCTTAGTTAATGGCTACCATAACTTTGATAATAAGGTATGACTCATGAGGACAGTACAGCAAATACTTCTAAAAGACTACCAAGAATTTAATATAAAGACTGAATTTCTGGGGATTTCAAAATGAAATTTAAAAGAAAGCATCACTTATTTTAGTATGTTTTGAGCCTGCCCAATGCCTTGGTGAAGTCAGCTTCAAAGCAGAGAAAGCTATCCAACCGAATTTCAAAAGGCCTATGGTCACTGTTCTTAAGTGCAAAGTGATAAGCACTGTTCTTAACTGCTGAGATGGGAAGAGTGGACTAAAAACTATTTCTCCAGGCCCTGAGAGCTCTCAGTCAAAAGGCACAGGGGATGAGAGTGCAGTTCCTAAACCTTAAACTCATTTGGTCATCTATACTAGGAAATAATACCCACTTCTCTGGTTGAAACTAAGACTTTAGGCTTGTATGCTGCAAGGTTTGTGCCCAAAGAATTAGAAAAGTATAGAAAGCATACAAATCAGACAATCATGAAAGTCTTGCTGTTCCAATTCTGCTTCTCACCTCTTAAAATAGAAAGGCCATGCAAGGTCAGGGTGGTTAAGCAGCGCTGTAAAATAGCATCTATAGTAATAAGCAGTGGAACATGACTTCACGCACTTGACGAGAGCAATAAGCAATAAAAACAGACCTGTTAAGATCAGTCAGTGAAGATGAATTTTAGACCAAATAAGCAAAAAGGAAGTTTAGAAGATAATTAAAAGAATTAAAGATGTGTTGTATCTTAGAAGCCAGTGTTAGAAATAATCTTAATGGGCTTTTCAAATGTATTTGCAGTAGGGAGTTTGCAAAAAGCAATGATGCAATCAAACAGAATGTGATTTCAGGAAAGGAGTGGAATTTATGACACTAAATCATTTTTCCCTAGGGTTAGCTATCAGAAGTCCATATACAATCAATCCTTTAATTAACTTTTTAAAAAAAGATTATAACAAGATCCTCAATGTGTGCACTTCTCTGCCAAAGCTAACCACAAAGGGTAAGACTGGTTTTCTATGCTGGTTAGTTAGTGGAGAGTCAAAGCAGCTGTAAAACAACCAAAGTGCATGCATTGAAAGAAAGGAATAGCAAAGGACCAAATATCCTCAACCTGAATAACCTCCTCATAATGGAGAACCAAAGGTGGTATATATCTTGACGGAATACTCATTAAAGCTCTCAGGGTAATATAGCATGGCGGGGAAGTACTCAGGCTCAGGAATCAGACAAAGTAGTGTTAAAGTCCTGGTTCTGGGCCGACCCGGTGGCGCACTGCTACAGTGCGCCGCTTGGGAGCGCGGTGGCGCTCCCGCCGAGGGTTCGGATCCCACATACAGACTGGTTCCCGCTCACTGGCTGAGTGAGATGTGGTAGCAACACCGAGGGTTGCGATCCTGTTGCCGGTCCCGGTCCGGTACAGGCGCGACACTGAGGGTTGTGATCCGTTGCCGGACACGAAAAAAGACAAAAAGGAAAAAAAAAAAAAAAAAAAAGTCCTGGTTCTACCATTTGATAGGTGTTTGGCCTTCAGCAAATTACTTAACCCCTTTAAACCTTACTTCTTTCATCTGTAAAATGGGTGTGATAATCATACATATCTTGTATAGTTTTAAGACTTTAAGAAATGCTGCATGTAAGCACTCAGCACAGTGCTGGCACATACAATAGATGGTAGCTATTGTTAAAATGGTTAAATAAATGTAAAAATGAGAGAGAAACATGATTTTGTACAATTATATAAATAAGGAAGTCATTAGATAGCATAAAAATGGGAATGGAGGTTTCCTGCAGGGGGAAATAGGTATTAAATTCAAGGGAAAAAAAAATTAATACAGTCAACTTATGTGCCTAGCTTCTATATTAAACAGAGATAGACTTTTATAGTTTCTCAGATGATCATTTTTTGTAGTTCTTTGATGCCAGAGAGGTAAGATTAGGGAGCCCTAGGAGGGCTTCAAAAACTGTGAAGGTTAGCTATTTTGAAGGAAAGTTTTTGGGTATTAACACTCTGGAATTTTCCCAGGAGGCATGTTTACAAGCATTCATTGACAAAAGACAAAATTATTTTTTAATGAGGAGTTCTTGCTTTAATAATTTGTTGAGGTGTACTTATACATCTTTGACAGTAGTAATCATTGAAATATAGCAAAGTCTTAACTTTAACAATCCAAATCCCATAACTTAAAACTACTATGGGAAAAATCGTAAGACATCTCCACGTTCTCCTGTAACTTTCCTCAATGCTATCTCAGAATTACAATATTAATTTTCAAATTCCTATTTCCAGATTAATTTTAAAAGGAAGAAATACTGTACTTTTAAAAACTTATGTCATTGCAGTAATTATAGTAAACAATAAACAAAATCCACAAGGTAACTTACTGGCAGAGAAATTCCTATTTCCAGATTAATTTTAAAAGGAAGAAATACTGTACTTTTAAAAACATGTCATTGCAGTAATTATAGTAAACAATAAACAAAATCCACAAGGTAACTTACTGGCAGAGTACAGGAATGCTAGGAATAAAGAATTTACTTTCACGGTATAAGGCAGTCTCCAGGCCCCCAAATAAAAATGTATGAAGCTTAAATTTCAAGGAAATTTCCAGTTGAAGGTGGCTCAGAGAGTTCCTTTTTATAATAGCT